CGGGCGCCTGCGTCCCTTGGACTCTCCTCAGCCGCTTTCCCCCGGGCGCTTTGGGAAGCGCGTCGTGGTGCCGTTAGTCTTTACGGGTAAAATAAGCCTCGTGTGGAGCGTAAACCAAACTCTGTCTGCAGTTTTCCCCTTCGCTCTTTCACAACTTTTGTGGGTTTTTTTTTTAGCTGTTCTCATCTCAAATTCATCACGTGGAAGTTCGGAAAGCTTGTGTCTCGTTCATGAGGCACCACCAGCAGAAGTTTGAATCTGTAAGTAACGCGTGTGCCAGGCGGGTTTGCAGACGTAGTTCCGCAGTGGTGTGGGTAGGGGGTGAGTGGTTTAGCCATAAACATTCCCACATAAACATAGGAACTGAAAGCATGTCGTGCTTTGCCAGGCTTGGTGCATGTCAGAGAAGAGCAGTGGCAGGGCGATGGCTTGTTTGCTCTGAGTTGCAATCGCACGAGTTTTATCTGACTTCATGTTTTTGAAGTTCCTGAGCTCCAACAAGCGAGTTTCTAATACTCAAGTAACCAGTTGGGTGACAGTTATTTGTGTGCCATATTCTCTGTGGAGCAACTGTTGCAGAACTTAGTAGGTAGGGAGTATGTAGGATTTTTAGAGTAGGACACTAGCATCAAAAGATGGTGGAAAACTTCAAAGTGCGTTTAAATGTTGCATAAAGAGATAGATTTTGGGTTGGTTTTGTGTGTGGCAGTTTGTGCGGGAGCGTGCATGGCGCAGTTTTGTGTGGCACTGGGATGTGTTTGGGGGTTTTTTGGTTTGCTTTTTTTGGGGGTGGGTTTTGGTGTGTGTGTCCCCGTCCGTCCCTCCCCGTAATTGCAGTTAAATGCTTCATCTAATCTAAGAGGGAGATGAGTCACTGTTACTAACTAGTCCCAAATTTGGTGTCCATGTCCCTATTCCCTGTCCTGTTCAACAGGTAGTAACATATGGCATAGTGTTGAGGTTTAACTTTGCTTTTCAATTGGCTAAGGTTTTTTTATATTTGTTTTTTTTTCTTTGTTTTGTTGAAAGTACGTGGAAGGATCATTTGAGAAATACCTTGAACGACTGGGAGATCCAAAGGTAAGACTGATCTAATGCTTGTCAAGAAATTGAAATTTGAGGAGACTAGAATAGGAAAGTAATTAGATGATGGTTTAAAATGTGGTGGTTTGGGGTTGGGTTTTTTTTTAGATAGACCCTGATGCTGGGGTCTCATTTGCATAGGTAATACTATGGGTTTGTACTGAATATTCACATACATAAACAATATCGATTCCAGTGAGGTATTTGTGTTGCTGCAAAAGAGCAATCTATACAGACTGGACAGTAAAGCTGAGGCCTCTTGTGGGCTTTATTCATAATTGCAATTCTTTTTTAAGAAGGAAAAAGCAAAATATGTGGAGTGTACCTCATGTCATATGTTTATCAGGCTTTCCAATCCCTTGCTTCTTTCTTTACCCCAGGTTTGAATACTAGAGTTCAAACTTCTATTTCTTTAGACTTTAACCAATAAGTATGGTAACGCAGCAGTCTCTGAAACAAATCTAGTGGTTCTAATTTAAAAAAATGTTTCATGAGTGATGCGTTTAAGAGTCACTGCCAGAACTAGCTCCATGTTATTCAGCTTGGTAATCATGGCCATCCTGTGTTGCAGGCTTTTTTTTTTCCCTTCCTGGAAATCCTAATATCTCAACTCTCAAATGCATTGATTGATTGTTTTAACTAACTGATGAGTTTGGTTAGGTGTTAATTTGGTTAGGTAATATTAATACTACAGAGAACTGGACTAGAGTTCTCGAGTGTTCTGGTTCTATCTCATGTCACTCATAATCTTGCCTAGGAAAGTGCTGGCCAGCTGGAAATGAGTGCTTTATCAGTGATGTACAAGTAAGTGTCTCTTTCTCAAGTTTCACGTTGTTTTGAACTTGATCATGTTTGGGTTCTAGCCCCAGAGCCTTTTATTTGTTTGTTGCTCACTAATGTGTGAAACATGGTGAGAAATGCTACCCTAACAAAGTTGCTTAAACTAACATGTGAACAGCTGCCATCACAGCCCCTGTTCTTGGAGTGTGGATTAAGGGGAGGGTCGGTTTCCAGGAATGTTTATTTGTTATCTTTTAGCTAGTGTCAAACTCTGAAGTCAAGTGTTTCCTTCTAGTGGCTGAAGGATGGAAAACGGGGAAAAAAAACCCAAGGAGCTGTGTGTAGTGGAAACACTGTCTGGTAGTTACAAGCATGACTAAAACTCATGCAGATGTTCTTGAAAGCTCCAGCAGTGAGGAGTATTTGCCCTACTTGGTGTGTAAACCCTGATACTTATTTCAGAGGTGACGTGAGCCTGCGCAGGTGTTGCTGTCTTGCTGAAAATGCTGCTGTCCTGTAACAAGCAGTCTGGCTCTCCGGTGGTGGAAGGAAGAAACCCTCCCTTTGCAGGCTTGGTCCGTTCCAGTACTAAAGGAACAGATTGAAGTTTTGCGAGAGTTACTGGTTTCCTCGTACTGAGGCTCCAATCCTTTTGCAGGGTGACTAAATCACTTAGACTTAATTGTCAGTGTGTAAGCGCTCATAAGCGTAAGTGCTTGACCTAATCTGTGACTAAATACAATGATCTTTCCCAGATAAATTTTTTTTTCCTCTAAGACATGTTTTTTGCTCATGTAACTATTGCTGCATGGTAGCATTTATTTATCAGGAAAAGTATTCTACTTGATTTTTCCATAAACCAACGGCAGATTCTCTAAACAGCTCCCTGCAAACTTCTTCATAACATGGTTCTACTAAAAGTGTGCCCTTTAGAGACTTGTTTTTCCTCTGCTTACCTAGGCAAGACTTTATATTGTACCGGTACCCTGGAAAGCCACCCACGTATGCTACAGACAATGGCTTTGAAGACAAGGTGAGAAGTAGTGAGGCAGTTTCCTACTCCTGCCCCTGAATCCTAGTTACCTCCAGTCCTGCTTAGTTACAAAAACTTGCCACTGGGATTGGGCTCTTGTAACCCTAGTGCTCTTGCATACCTGCACAAAACCCCAGAGCTGACTTCAGCTCGTGGGAAAAACACAGTATTTGCACAACATTTAATGCAATTATAGTAGCTTTGCTTCCCATCTGAGGGATGGGTTGGTGTGCTGTTCCTCTGCCAATCTTTTTTGTTACCCCAGCTCGTTATTGGTAAGAAGTTTAATTTTGGCAGGAAGAGGTAACATCACAATTCCAGAATGTTCTTTTGCTGTTTCTGAAATCTCTTTGGGTAAAAACACCAGTGGGAATTTGGCTGATCTGACAGGGTAGAATGAAGTATCTGGGTTGAGTTGAAGAGCGGAACAAGATAGTTTTATTGTACTGGGGAAGAGCAGGTGTTCTCCCCCACCCCCAGTGCCACTCTTCCTGTAGTCGGATGAGGTGTGCAGGTGTGGGGTTTTTTTTCCTAAAAAGGGGACGTTAATGGGAATGGATTAATCTAACAAACTGGTTCATTTCTATGAGACACAAATTGAGCCCAGTTAAGAATGGGAGCTAATGGAACAGCTTATCGACACAAAAATTACTGCTGGAGGCAAAAAGAGGGAACATAAAGGAGAAATAATGTGTATTACCTCCCATCTGACCCCTCGTGTTTTTTCTGCAGTCATGTAGATGTGCCCACACAATTATGTGGCTAGCTCAGGCACAGCGCTAGTGTAGTTGCTGTGGTATGGATTTCAGTATGGGCTATTATGTTTGCCAAAGTGGCTAGTCTGCTCTGAAATCTGTGGTGCTGCAGCTGTTCTTCTCTGTTGGTCAGTATTTCTGTCTTTGTTTACATGTGCTTCTGTCCTTTTTGATGTAGTTTTCTGTGTAGCTTAATCTAATTTCAAAGTGAGCTAACTTTAAAAATGGAGCAGTGTGGTCTAAATGTGTGTTTGTCCTCAAAGGCTTTACCACCAGCGCTCTCGTTAAGTGTTGGCAGCTGTCTGTCGTTAGGCTGCACGTCCAGGCAGCAGCTCTTGCTGCTGTTGCTCGTTCTCACCAAGAGATGAGAGCTCGTGTTGGCAGAAGATACAGTGCATGCTGAATTAAGAGCCCTGGCATCCCAGCTTCTGCTGGTTCACTGGGAAGCTTCCTCGCTGGCCATGTGCTGATAGCTCCTACGGGCTTCTGCTGGTTGCAGTTGGCTGTGGTCACGTGCCAGGATGGGTTTGATGGTGTGTGTTTACTTGGTGTATCGGTGTGCGTGTTGCAGAAAGCACGCATCTTTTCAAAAGGCAGTGTAATCCTGCTTGGTAAAAGCAAGGCTTTGTGGAGAGCTGGAGGAGGAGATGCTCTTCTAGTCCCTGGGGTAGGGAGGGGTGAAATGTGCCTGGGATACTTGTGCAGTGTGTCTCGGGGATACTGCATTTCATGCCTTGTGTCTAATTTATCTCTTGAGCAATTGGTGGTTTCAGAGGTAAGCTGGAAGCAAACTCTAATTTCATGTTTAATACAGCATGATGTACAAATTGATGGTTTTTCTTTGTATAATAGACAAACTTACTTGGAGACTTTACCTAGGATTCCGTTGTAAGCTGATTCTACAGCTTTTTCATATTTATATTGAGAATACTTATTGTTTCCTTGATGAGTTGGTGTAAACTGTAAAACAAAAGAATAATGTAGTCTTGAGCTAGGATATCAAATAGAAAGACTTAGGTTTTACATCATTCCAGCCTTAAAGCCTTTTTTTCTATTATTTTCCCAGATTTTACTGTGTTGTTCCGGCAACGGCCATTATGACTCTGTGTATACAAAACAATTCCAGGAAAATGCTGCTATTTGCCAGGGTAAACTTGAAATAATTTTTCTATGGAAGAGAATTATGTGGTTTTATATATTTAAAGGCAATGTTTGCTTTGGTTTTTAGGGGTGGGGAGGAGAGAGATGGAAGCTCGTTTATTGTATATTAATATATGCATTATTCTGTTGAGTGAGATGTTGGACCAAATGACTTCCAGAGGTCGCTTCTTCCCACCTGAATTATTTTATGATCCTCTCTTTAATTGAATTTAATATAACTAGTGCCTTGTAATAGTAGATAACATCTGAAGATATGGTTACTTTGAAAATTGCAGCAGTTCTTATGGAACTGGTATTACCTTAATTTGGTTTGAGCTTTGTGTTGATTTGTTCAGCTGTATTATATGAGATCCTGTACAAAGATGTGTTTGGCATGGATGAGGAAGAATTAAGGTCTGCAGTTGAGGTGTTTCGAAGTGGATCCAAGAAGAACAGAAACAGTGGCTCTGTAGGAAGTGAGGATGCAAACTTTGATTGTCTTCATGAAAAAGTATCCAGAAATCCATCAGAAAAGAGGTAGTATTTTGGGAAGGGGATGTGGTTAAAAGGGAAGCAAAATAAAGAAATAAAACAAAAACCTCGCAAAGGGCAACTTTTCCAAGTTTCTTCGAATGTTCATGAGATGTTAACTCTTCTTCCTATCTCATGATGCAAGCACAAACCTAAAGTATATTGTGGAAGAGTGTGTTTTCTTTGGAGCTGAAAAGTGTCACGTGATTGAACGTCCTCTGCTACTGACTGTTATGTTATAGTTGCATGTTGCTCTAAAATGGCAGCTTATTTGTAAGTAAAATTGTTCCCTTTTTTTAAGTAAGAAACTGTTATTACTCTTCTAAGCCTCTATAGCTCTGCAGGGGCAATAGTGTATTGAGAAAATGAGCTCTGCTTTTTTATCTGTCCTTTTTTTAATGAACTTGTACCCCAAGTAGACAATTAAACGGTGGTGGTATTCAAGTCTATTGGATCACTGGGGATGAGGGGAACGGACAGAATGTACTTATAGAAACCCTCATGTCCCATGTTGTTCAAGTCACTAGAAAGGCTTGAGAGACACCATTGACCATTACTGAATGCCTGCAGATGACTTTGGTTTGGTAGGACTTAGAACACGGTGTCTTATTGTACTTGACAGTGCAAGATCAGTGGGATCAGCTTCATCCTTTCCTAATGCAAGCTGTAGCCCTCTTCAGAGGTGGGTGTTGGAACAAGTAAAGGTCGTGTTTTTGAAACTAAGAAAAGGGTTGTCCTGCACTGCATCGCAGCTATGACTAGTTTTTAATGCAAAATCTACCACTTGATGGCACCATGGTGCTTTTTCAGATTGTATGAACAGCTGGTTGATTTTAATCCTGGCTAGAAGTTATGCATTGTATCTTTTGTAATCTTATTTTCAATTACTTAGAGTGGATGACTGGGAAGGCAATGATACTGACAATCCACAGGAAGATAAGTTCAAACAAGGCATTGAAGAAGAAAAGGTTTGTCAGTTAGGGAAGAATTCCTTATGGTGGTTTATTTTTTGTTGTTGTATGATGTTACCCTTGTTAGGGCTAAACTATCTTTTCTACTTTCTTAAAAATGACTTTTTGGGAAGTGGGTGGCTTATTTCTTTCATCTGCTTGTCTTTTGGTTTTGCCCTTGAATTTCTATTAAATTGGGTAAGCCTTTTTATTTTCTGAGATTCTCTTGTTCTTTTCTAGTTATTTTTTTTTTTCTCCCCAAAAGTGGAGCTTAGCAGATGTTTTCTGGTCTGCTGTTTGTTTTTCCCATAAATGATTTAAATCGATTCACTTTTGTTTTGAACACAGTGTAAATCAGTTTGGAACAATTTTAGAAACTACAGAAAGCTGTTTTGGGATATATTAATAGAAATTCTCACCAGCTTTTGAAGCCATGGCTTCATTGGTCTGGTTAGCTTCTCTCAATTCTTTTTGAGTGAAGAACGTGCCAAGCGATACTCTTGAGCCTGTTTCTAACCTTTCCAAAGTCTGTTTGCTCAGCTTCTGAATGCCTAAATGTGTTTTCATATTCTTGAGCTTTAGTTTTTAGGCAAATATAGTGGAAGTGAACATTTTGGAAAATAGCGTGTGTACATCTTAAAATGGTCCACAGATGCTGGAAGGATAGAGTCTGTGCTGAACACGTTAAATGCACTTGTTAATGCTGTGTTTCAATTCTTTGTTTTAGCCTCCAGAAATTCCATCAAAGTTGCCAGTTCCTTACAAAGTGCTAAAGGCACTGGACCCTGAGATCTTTCGAAATGTGGAGTTTGATGTTTGGCTGGACAGCAGAAAAGGTATCTTTAAAAAGGGAAAACCAAATAACTCTCTCTGTGCTAGGCTCAGTGTTAAAATTTCTGAATCTGAGGCTTATGTCACCTGTTTCTTCACAGCTGAAATGTGAAGGCTCCTGGTTAACCCCGCAGATGCTTGTAGGTAGTACATATTCTTGCTAGTAGATGGTTACTTGGCTTCTGACACTGTATAGTGGTGATGTTGGCTAAAAATCTGACCTCTGCTACTTATTGACTGCAGTATAGGAAATAGGAGGACTCAAAGCAGAGTACAGAACTCTGTTACCATTCTGTTGTGCTGGAAGTCATTCCGACTTGAGAGTTTTTTATTGCAGTCTATGTGCAAGGACTTCTGCTTTTAAAGCACGATTTTGGCTTCAGAGTGGTATAATAATGAAGACCTCAAATTTAGCATTGACATCTGTCAAATAAGATGAGTTTTCTCTTGCTTCCCAGCTCTCCTGGACTTGAATATTCTGGAGAGATTTCATGATCTCTGTGGCTTGGGATAGATTGCTGCTTTTTGGTATACGCTATGGCTGATCTGTAAAGCAAGGAGTTATCAAGAAAATTAAGTTTCAAAGTGGTGTTTGATGTCTGACCTGAAGTGCTTTGCATACTGAAGAACTCCAGCATTTTACAACTGCGTAGGTAATAATGAAGGTCATGAAAATTTTTGGAACAGAGTATAGTAACTAATTATCTATGTAGAGTACTGATGTGCAGAGAATCCAGGTGAGGAACGAAAAAAAAGTACCGAAATCTAGCAGCAAGGAGACATCAGGTGATGTTAGTTTTTCCTGGATAACATCTCATTTTTGCAAGGTGCCACCAGTGCTCTGGCAAGACAAGACACATCCAACATTATTAATAACCGGGATCTGTATTAAATGCGGAGTTAAGTCGATAACGTCACAAAAGACATTGTGGTATGGAAGCAATAGTGCTGCTTTTGGCATTATCTGGATATTATTGATCTCCTGTGACTGAGCCTGGTTATGGTCTCTTATAAGAACATCTACAGTTACTTCACCATTACTATGGGGAATGTTCAGATATGCATAGGAAATATTTAACTCAATTGACCTATAATTTGTAGTTGGATGCTGTCATGAAGTACTTGTAGGATACATGAAGAAAGAACAGTAGTTTAAAGGCTTTTTCCTTTTTATTTATTTATTCATTTATTTTTAGAGCTTCAAAAAACTGACTACATGGTGTTTGCTGGGAGACAGTACTATTTAGGAGACAAGTGTCAGGTTAGTACTCAAAGGAGACTCAGTTATGATAAACTAATAAAACTGCTTTAAATGGAGTATGGTAAACCATAAAATCATTTGACTTTATGGAATTTTCCAAGACTTTTCTCATTGTTCCTCGTAGCTGTTAATCTGATTTTAATTTAACTTTTCTAAAATCTACCTTTAAACATTGAGTAGTGCGAAGGAAAAGCTGCTTGGAAATTCATAGTGAACCAGTGATGCATGTTCTGTGAGTGTGGAAGTTCCAGACCGAGGGCTCAAAATGCACAGGCTGTGCATTTGAGGTAGTTGTCTGTTAGATTTTTCAATGGGGGTCAGCAACAAGTCTGGACAATCTTCTGTTTCTCAACAGAAACATAGCAAATATTTTTATAGAATAGAAAGGGAAGAGCTAAAAAGGGAGGAATAGCACGATCTGGCCAGAAGATGCTGAAAGGAAGGTCGGCTTTCTTTGTATGCCAATGTTGTATGTAGTGAGGGCTTATTTTTTATCACTCGTTGAGGTACTGCTGATGATTCACTCAGTGACTTGTTTCTAGCTGAGCAGAGCTTTCCTTTCCAATTTCCTGTTTTATCCTCTGTTCTCCTCAAGTTCTTAAATAACGATCTTTCTTGGTACTTATCTGCTTGGCACAGTGTATAAAAATAAGTTAAAAAGAAGGTTTCTTCTTACGTCTCAGTCACTCACAAGACTGATAATGTTTTTTTCCTTCCTCCCTGAAGTTAGTACAGTGCTTTTTATTTTGCCTACTATTTTGAAGAACTATTTGAGACTCCTGAGCCAGCCCAGTAACATAGGATCAACTAGGAGCAGCTTTTGCTGCTTAGTGGTTTGTGGGTATTATTCTGAATCCCCTGGTATAATTTGGCTTTTTTTAGCAATTCGCTTGTTCTCTCTCCAGGTACGTCTGGAGCCTGGAGGTAAGTATTACAATGCTCATATCCAGGAAGTCGGACAGGATGGCAACGCGCTGACGGTGTTTGTTGAGGAGCTGGCGGAAAAGTAAGCGGTCTGGTGACAACTTCATGTTTCTGCTCTCTCTGGTTGAGTTTTTATATTAACAGGTGCTGCTCAAAATAGGATTGTTAAGATGCTTTGAAAAGAAAAGAGAAGCCAGGCTTTTAAATATAAAGCGAGGCTTTGCTTCCATGTTGGCTATCACTCTTCAAATAGAATGTTGCAGGAAATTTTTTCTCTTGGGTTTCTAAGGACCGTTATTGTAATGCTTTCTGTAAAATCTTGTTGCTCTTTCTTCTCTGTAATGTGGAAGTGATCTTTGCAGTTGGGCTTAATTCACAGATAGCAAATTATCTTTTGTTGGTTTCTCTGGAGTTTTTATGTTGTACCAAAACAACTAAATAATTGGCACTTCTGGTGAGTCTAATCGCTTTTTCCACCTTACTATTCAAAGCATTCACCCTTCTCCAAAGCTAGAATTCAACTAGATGACATGCTGCAAAAATTCTGTTCTGTCAGATGCTTTCAGGTGTACCTCTGAAGGCACGCGAATGCAGGGAAGACAGACTTGACCTAGAAAGTCAACAGTGTTGAGACTAAATCCTACTTTGCCTTTTTTAATAAAGAAGTAAAAGTAATGTGTGCTTGACGTCAGAGAAACAGATGATTTTTTTCTTTTTATTTCCACAGACTCACTACACTCTTAAGTTTGTGGGGTTTTCTGTTTTCTTCTGTCGTATTGTTGCTTCAGCTGATATTGTTCTGCAGTTATGCACAGTGTATCCTCGTGGCAGTGCTAACGTCAGTACTCTTGGTGTAGGCATACAGTTCCTTTGGCAAACTTAAAACCAGTGACACAAGTGGCGCCTGTCATTGCTTGGAATGTGGTTCCTAGCCGAAAAGGAGGAACCTATCAGAAAATAACAGGTGGATACTTCTCAGGAATAGGTTTGTACAAGTTTTCCAGAAGCATTCCTTCCCATGGGGATGGAGGGGAGGAGGGGGAGACACTCTTGACAGTTTTAACAGTAGCAGTCTTTGGATATTGGAAGTGACTTAATTCAGCCTGTGGTATAAAACTTGGTAATTACAGGGGTTTGATGTAAAGCGACCCTTCAGACAGAGGGATGAATTTGCCTTTGCAAAAGAGCAAATCCATAGCAAAGTCAGTGTTGCTCAAGATTACCAAGAAGTAGTTTAGCACTTGAGAACCATGTATAAGGACTGGGTCTGTGAACCAAAAAGCTTGTCTGATTTGGCCTTAGCAGAGATGCATGGATGGACTAGGGCTTTCCCAGCCAATTAAATACGGATTGTATGTGATTAATTTGGAGAATTTTTTTTTTAAATAACTAAATGCAGCCTTCATAAAGATATTTTAACACTGAGAGTACTGGTTTGGGCAGCTGAAGTTGGGGAGGTGCTCAAATGTGAGGTGCTTGTATTCTCTTCATAACTTACGGTGACCACTTGAGCCTTCAAAATCAGGGTATGAAGTTTGCATAATTAAAATGCACTTTTTCTGGAATAGGCCATTGGTTCTTTCTTTTTCATATATTAACTCTTCTTGAATGATAAAAAGAACATAGCTCTGGAATCAGTTGTTTAATGTGTAAATCTGTCTTTTCTGCCCTCAACTGAACCTGCAGAAATGGATATGAAAACACGGAAGAGAATGCTTAAGAGAGTTCGTGGAAAGGAGGTCTTTATGACTGTGGCTTATAGCAGGGGTCAGCCAGTTCTTCCACCTCGGCTACAGCACAGTGTTCCTTCTGGGCGCTCTCCTCCAGTTCAGTGCTCACAGAGTGGTGGAAACATGGCACCTTACGGACCCCATCATCCTCAGAGACATAACCGTGGATTTGGGGTGCCAAGGTATGAAGCCTTGTAAACCTGTCCGAGATTTCCACTCGTTTTCTGTTCATTCTTGCTGCAGACTAGTTAGGGGAGA